ATTCAATTCAAACATTTGTTACTGGAATCTAATGAGTCTGTCTAACGAGGAAAGGTCCCCAAGTGATTCATCGCTTTTGGCTTCATATTTTGCCCATAAGTGGAGGTCTTGTAGACTAGAAAAAGCCTAAGAGGATATGGGCCCATATTGCAATTTGGCTAAGATACTCAAGTTTTACCCAAAACTCCCTGTGGGACCTTGATTTTCCAGTAAAATCATATTTTCGAATTTTGAGCTGAAACGTTGCCCAGATAAAGCCTTCAATTGGGCTAGCTTGTAAAAAAAATTTCAGTACTTTTGGACATAGTATTACTGAGATATGAATTTTTCAAAGTATTCATGTTTTGTACAATATCAATCGAAAAGCGTCTGTATTTTGGAAAATTCATATCTCAGTAATACTATGTCCAAAAGTACTGAATTTTTTTTACAAGCTAGCCCAATTGAGGTCTTTGTCTGGGCAAAGTTTCAGCTCAAAATTCGAAAATACGATTTTGCTGGAAAATCGAAGTCCCACAGGGAATTTTGGGTAAAACTTGAGTATCTCAGCCAAATTGCAATATGGGCCCATATCCTCTTAGACTTTTTCTAGTCTACAAGACCCCTAATTATGGGTAAAATATGGAGCCAAAAGCGATGAATCACTTGAGGACCTTCTCTCGTGAGACAAAAAAATTTATTACTGATGAGGAAAGTTTTCTAATTTATTAATCACATTTCAGTTATGACTGTATGCATCATGTAGATCCTAATAGGTTATGAATATTCGAGAAATAGTTCGAATTTATAGCTGAGTACCGCCGATATATTACATTTTCCCGATATTTGTCAATTCAATGTCGTGACTTCCTCAGAATCATCAGGAAAATTGGTTTTCGACTTTCGACTTGAAACTTTGTATGAAAACAAGCTGTGATGAGAAATACTTAATTGTGAAATATCAGATTATTTTATTTGTTCATGTCTCAAAATCAGCACATCGTTTGTTCAAACGTATACGAGAGATGTAAAAGACACGCTTTTAAAATGGCTATATCTTGAAATAGGATCATCAAAACTATGTGAAACTTCGACAATAAACCATTCTCGTCAATTTTCGCTTCTACAGAAACTTTCAAGATATTCATAACCGATTAGGATCTGCATGATGCACAAACTTCCAGTTTAGAAAATGGCTCGTGGCGTATTTTTTAATGCAACGAGCAAGTTGCGATCTACACTATCGCCAATTGTGCCTGTTATTTTTTCCTTCACGATGTGTATGATTATGCTCCTTGGCCTTCAAGAAAAAATCGAAACACGAAAATAAAAATGAAAGACATGTATGAAATGATACACTTAAAAGTGGGGAATGTATTTCAGTACATAAAAACATTTTTTGGACTTAAATAAACTCTGCATTTCAAGTTAAAGGGTAATTGAAATACATACGATCATTTTTATATTTATTCAACAATAGTAAGGATAAGGATTTATAATCTAAATATATTAACATTCGTCAATTTCATGTTTTTCAAGTAAATTAAATAATTTATAATAAAGTTCTTCATCCATAAGAACACACTCAGTATTATGAATAATGTCAGCTCAGCCTTCATCATGAATAGCGAATTTATCTATTTGAAGATCTTCGAACGTTTCATTAACATTTTTGTTCCCTTTGATATAGTTTTCTATTGAATAGGTTTTGGAAATCTCGTGGCTGTGTCTTGGGGCCGGGGAGGGGTGCAAAGTTGGAAACCATTCGAAACTAGGACTCAAAGATTCTTTTGTCATTCGACCCTGAAACAAGCTACAGAGCTGCCGCTTTGAGTGTTGGATAGAGGACAGTTTGAAAACTAAAAATTTTGCTCGGCTTCATATAGATGTTCAAGGTCAATAAATGTCAAAAACTAGCATTTTTTGTAGTGATTTCCCAAAAAACAGAACAGTCGAGAAAAAAGTTCAGTACAAAAGAATAATCATCTCAGCTATTAGTATCTGTGGTAAACTTTTTTCATTTGAAACTGAGAGGCTAGCTAAGGTCCAGTTTAGCTGGGGTACTCAATCTTATCTTTCGTCATGTGGAACTCTTCTCAAGGTTTTCAAATTTTTGAATCTACGACGATGCTAATAGACTCAAGTCATACAAGCTGAGAAGGTTTTATTACATTCGCAAATTATTGACAGAATCATTATCTATACGAAAACAAACATTTGTATCTTTTCTCGTATAGAAAAAACTATTTATATCTGTAGCTATTTCTCCCATAGGACGACATAGGATGGAACGATTTTTTTCGTCCCACGACATTCCACGCGGAGCCCTCTTAAGCATTGCTGCCATCGTATTCTCTTCTTCTCTCTTGACAAACAACCTTGTTATTTAACTGAAGATAATATTTGTGGATTGACAATGTGTTTTTGATTAATAAGAAATGAAATCGACAAAAACCAGTTCCATTTATTGTGAATATAATCAGATATGTTTTTTTAACAATACTGTCGATTACTTATCTTATTCAATTTTATTTTTTGCTTAATATAAAAATACACTGTCTCATACTCGATTTATGTGATGAAGAAAAAAAAATTATTTTCTTCTGAAATATTGAATGATTGAGACGCGAATGTAAATTTTCAAACAATACTAAGTTAATTATTTCATGCTTATGAATGTTTAGCCACATATCGATTAGGCAAATTTTATTTAAAAAAAAACTATTGTTTTAGAAAAAAATGTTTATTATGATCGGAAAAATCGAAATTAAATAGTAGTACTTTCATTCTTACCTATTGGTTCAATAGTTATCTTAAGTTTAAGTATCTATGAGTACCATATAAAACTTTGAACACCATTATACCACCTCGGTACCTTTTGAGAACCTTCAAGCATAGTTTAGTACTTTGTTGCTGCAGTAGTTCTCTTGTGAATTTTAGTCACCGTATTTTTCATTCATGAACTGTCAACTTCTCATGAGTTTAGTTAAGTTATTCAGTATTGCATAAATCATTGGAGATTCTTATGTATGATTATGAATTCAAAACTATTGAGATTTAGTAAAATATATTAGAATTTCCTATTCATCTGTTTTTTTATTTAAGCTCTGTAAAAGATATAGAAGGTTTTCCGTAAAAACAATATGATTACAACAAGAAAGCAACAAATAACATATTTTCTATTGAAGACAAGAACCTGGAAAGAAAATATCAATAAATCATTTTTTATATCACACATTACTATAAGATTTCTTCAGTAAATATTGCATCAGAAAAAAATCTACGTTTTTATACAAGGAAAGAGAAAGTTTCATGAAACAAGCTATTTTCCGTATCCAATCTCATGGAGTGGTTGAAAAAACTTTATTCCATAGAATCAGATTATTCTATCTTATTCAGAACTCCGTTATGCATCAGAAAAGCATGTTCTGATGTTATATACAATTAATTGATGATGAAATATTAAATTATGTATATTTCATTTAGAAAAATGTTCAACAATGTATTGATGTTAACGACAAAATTTTATTCATAAATATGATTTGAATAAACTATTCATTGGAACATGTATGAAAGTTGCTTTTGAAGTTAACCGAATATAAATCAATATCAAAACAACAATAAAGTAATAGATTGGTTGAAGTCAAATTTTTATTTATCCTGACTCTTTTTTACTTTTGTTTTATCAAACAACCAATATGAAATATTTTAATTAGCTATCAAGAATGTTTAATTGCTGCAAAGTATCCTCGAGCTTATGGTCTAGTTTCAGTTTCCTTTGTATGTTAAATCTGTACTATATAAATAAAAGGGCATCATAGTCATTTGGGTGTGATATTTCGTTTCTATCAAACACATCCACACCCGATAAAGTGGAACACCAGCTAAACGTTTACACCTTTTCTTGCGTTTTATTTTAAAATTAAGACAAATTTTCAAATAAACGTAAACTCTCAATGATTGTCTTTCGAAAGATCATCATATGTCATTTTTCTGTATTGTTCTACCCTAAGTATCTTTGACTTGATTAGAACTAACTTGAGAAGCGTAGGAAGTCTTTTTGTGAATAGTGATAGACCAAGATTTAACATATGATGAGTTACTATAAGAAATTTTCAGCTGTAAAGGCAATTCGCTCAGTATCAATGGAAAAGACAATATAACCGAATCAAAAATTGAATGAACACTATTGTCTGATCTTATTTCGTATAAACTTCAACAATTTCTAAGTGATTCGACTGAGGTGTTGTTTGCCATCAAGTTATTTTGGTCTCTGTTGTAGTAATTTCATTTCTTGCGGTCACGATCTTCATCTTGGTTCTAACATATAGAAAAATACTTCAAAATGTGTTCGCATGAAATCTAAAAAATTTTTTAAGTTTCTGATCCCTTGATTTATTGAGTCAACAAATGTCACAATATTCGGTTTTGTCCTTTTGAATTATTTTATGTTGTGACTAATATAATATGTAAAATGATTCATTCAGGAACAATAGAACATGCTACTACAGCCTTTGATTTCGATCAAAAGTAAACTTTGAATGTTGACTTCACAAATCTCTAAATTTGATCAAACGAACCACTGTTTCTGATTCTTATTTAAGGTCAGCCAAATAAAATCAATCATGGTCTTTTATTGAACTATATGTTTGACAATCAGTTTTCTGATGTCTGATTGATATACTGTAGTTTATTGTGAACATGATATTCTATTTTATAAAGAGCATTCTATATAAGAACCATTGTGAAAAAAAGCAGTCACCTAATGAAGAAGCCACTAATGAATAATGGAAAATATTAGGCAGAAAGAGCAATGCTATCAATCATTCATCATAGCCTAACATTACGACATTAATAGTTATCGTTCAGTGTTCTTACGTACGTCAATGAAGACATGAAGACATATATAAACTGAAACAAATAGACATTATGAGTTAGACATGGAAACTTCAAATAACGACTTTATCAATATACTCGATTTACCCAATGAAATCTTATTGATTATTTTCAAGAAATTGAATATGGTTGACGTTCTTTATTCACTTGTGGATGTGAACGAACGATTGAATCGATTAGTACTTGATCCTCTTTATATTCGTAATCTTGATATGACTATGAAATCATTGTCTGATGATACTTCTTCAATACCTGATCAAGTTCTTAATAGAATCTGTAAAAAAGTCTTACCTCGAATACATCATCATGTAAATGAACTTATTGTTGAATCACATTCAATAGAACATATTCTTAATGTCAATTTTTATCCTCAACTTTTCTCACTGTCATTGGTTAATTTTCAAGAAGAAATACTTTATCAATATTTAACAGGTATACTGTTTAATTTTGTTCGTTTTAATCATTAAAATAATGAAATTGTTTGACATGAAATAATAATCGTCTTTATTTTATTTTCAATTGAAGACAATTCAATTCTTCATCGTCTTCTCACTGAACAAATCACACATCTTAATATTACTATTCAAAATAAGATAACACCAGCATTTTTTGAAACTTTATCAAATGTTTTCGTATTGATTTTATCTTTATGTAAACGATTAATCAATTTGGATTTTTGTCAATTGTTTCCTGATCAAATATGGTCAATTAATATTTTTGATCTACAATCAACAAGTTGTATGTCTTTAACTTTAACTCAATTGAAAATTAATGTCAAAACTTTTGATGCTTGTCTTTACCTTCTTGATGGACGTCTTGATAATTTATCAACCTTGATTATTCAAGTGTCAAAAATTTCCCGTACATTATTAAATATAGATAAGATGGTAAGTATATTTCGGATCATTATGTTTTCAAGAAAAATGCTAAACTATATAGATAGAGATTCTTAATTTTATTTTCTTTATAGAAAAAACTTTCCAAATTGAAATGCTTTTCATTGGCCTCGTTTGATTATACGTTTAACTATGATGATGAAATTGTTCCATTACTTCGTCGTATGATAAATCTTGAAGAATTGATATTATCTTTGTCGATAATAAGAATTGACTTAACTTATATTGATGGTACACATTTATATGAAGAAATTCGTATTCATATGCCACGATTAAACAAATTAATATTTAGTATAAACACAGCTATTGTCAAGAAGAACATTAATATTTATTTTCCATCTAATGATGATATTCAACGTAGTTTTCTCGAAAGAAGATATCAACAAGTTGGTTCATATGTCGATTCTACAGTAATAGAAGGTCAAGGAAGATGTCATATTTATTCACTTCCATATCAATTCGACACTTTTCTTCATCTTAGCAATTCTTTTCAAGGTGGCATGTTTAATAAAGTTCGATGCTTAACTATGACTGATGGACGTCCATTTGAACATGAATTTTTTAAAATCATCTCACAAGATTTTCCTTTTCTTGAAAACTTATCCATATGTAATGCAGAACCACAAAAACATAAGCAACATTCATCGACATTGATTACATTTCCGCATCTTATTTTTCTCGATCTGAAGGCAGCACATATGATCTATGCTAAGCAGTTTCTTTTGGAACAAAATACTCATCTACCTCGTTTATTGAAGCTCAATATCAGATACAAAACGCTTACAAAAGTAACAAAGAATTTTACCAATAATTTAGCACGTCTCAATTGTAGCAAATTGGAATGTCTTCAAATAAACGGGTCTCATGTTCTCCCATCGAATTTTCATCAATATTTTCCTTCATTATAAAAATATTATTTTTGTTAAAACTTTTTTCAATAAAAGGAAATAGTTTGAGAAAGTTAAATATATATCGATGAAGCTGATCAACTAAAATAAATCATGATCATAAGACAGTATTCTTTCATCTAGGCTATACTTTTACAAGAGTAGCTTTATTTTTATTGTTTGTAGGTATTTATGTACGGATTAAAGAATAATAGAAATATAAATAATACCAGTTTGACTAACAGACAGCATTTTTCTTCTTATTTGAATCAGAAATTGATGCACGTTTTAACATGACAAGCAAATTTATTTTTCGAAAGAAGAATATTTTCTTATTGGGTGTGGGTGCAATTGTTGAACTCATCCACACCCACACGCCCAGTTCGTATTCGTTCAAAGAACACACAAGCTATTACAAAATTATGCAAGAATTGACCTACAATCTTCTAGAATGACATGCAAAGTCTTATCGAAATATATCAGAAAAGGAGACTTTTCCTATATAAAAGTATATTCGAAGTTGTTCGGAAATTAATAGACCATTTTCATCGCATGAAATACATTCTATTCAATATAAATCAGCACATGGTTCTTAATTGACTTGCACTTAGGAAAAAGTCCTTTAAAAATAGAGTGGATGAAGGTATCAGCGTGACCGAAGAAAAAAAAATATACTCTCATCCACACCCACTATAATATTTGATCATTTTTCAGCTGATATCATAATGATAAAACTTCGATAAGATCTGTTTGTTATTTTATGTGACGTTAATATTAGATGAACTTTTGTTTTCGATATGTCTTGTCTTCTTAATGTTCACTTTGTTGGTTTTTTTCTCGGCCCGTCTAATGCTTAATTATCAATTTCGAAAACAAATAATATCAAGAAAATGAAATGTAAAACCGATACTGAAGAAAACTTAACGACATATCTACAGTGGCATCTTTAAAAATTTACTTAGAAAATAGTTTAATCAATGGAATCGGTATACAATATTTATTCTGCAATACAAAAGTTTATTATGTATATATATATATGAAGTAGAAAAGGAGAAAACTCAACTAAAATCTATCGCTCAATCAACATAATTTTATCTTCAAGCACTTTTATGCATTTTATCAATACGATAATCAGTAAAGAAAGCCCAAAGAAAGGTGCAAAAAGCTAAAAGAACAACACCATTTACATAGCATATGTGTTTCCAAAATGACTTGTCTGGTGCTAATGATGGCATTGCTGGCATGGTTGCTGCTTTATTATCATCTTCACCTTGATGTTCAATACCACATATCCATGTGAGAACAACTTTTATATAATATGTACAATTTTTATTTGATGAATCTATACATATATATATATATATATATATAGATAGATACGTAGATAGTACTAATGAAAAAACTGAGAATTATCTATTTTCTATACCTGGATAAAGAAGACTGTTTCTTCGTAAATCAGCAGCGGACTGAGCACGTGATACCGGATGAACAGGTGATCTTGGTCGAATATGTTTTTCTTCAAATGCTGTATCTGCTTTATACCATCGACCGGGTTTTGTTGGTATTGGTGTTGGCTTATGTGGGTTATCCAAATCAAATAAAGTCAAACCATGTAACTTGAAGGAAAAATAAAATGTTCAAAATCATATCTCTTCGCAAAGTTCAATAAAAGAAAAACAACTTACACATTGTTCAGGTATTGGTCGACTAAGAAGACTAATAGTTATTGCAACCAAACAAGTTAAAACAAAAAGTAAAATAGCAAAAAACAGATAATGAAATTTGATTGCTTCTGGACGTTGGTCTGTTGCCGATAGTAGACATGGTGGTACTGAATATGAAAACTCCCATATGAAACGTATTAAGCCAATAACTAAACCACATATTAAAGCCCAAAATGCACCCTGAATAGTTTTTCAGAAAGAAAAATCTTTATTTTTTCTTTTTAAAATCATACATACTTCTTCATTAATTCTTTTCCATAAAATTCCTAAAAGATAAATTGCAGAAATTGGTGGTGCAAGAAAACTTATTACGGCTCTAAAACAAAAATTCAATCTTCTGTTTTCTCTTTCTAATAATATTTTTTCTTACTGAATATAATCGAATAATTTCCCACCCTGCGCTGCTGATATAATTGGTATCCAAAGAATTGATATACCCACAAGAATTAATGTAAAAATTCTTTGAATAAAAGAAAAAAAAAATTTCTTATTTGTTTTTCTTCAATTATTTTTACCTTCCAACAATCAGTAATTCCCATTGTGGGGCTTTTGAACGAAAACGTTGCCAAATATCAATAGTAAATATGGTTGATGAAGAATTAAATATTGATGTTAATGATGACATTAATGCTGCAATCATACAAGCAAGCGTAAGACCACGTAAACCATTTGGCATTAATCTAATAACAATTAATGGATAAGCAATATCAGTACATGATGCTTGATTTCCACATATTTCTTGACATGAATCTGGAGTTGAACAACCAATTAAATCTTATAGGAAATATCAAAATATTATTTTAATTGATGATCAGGATTATTTTTTTGTTTTTTTCGCAATGAATTTTTATTTTACCTGGATAAAGTATTCGTGCAACCATACCAGGAACAATCATAAGAAAAAGAGGTAGAAATTTTAAATAACCAGCAACTATACAACCGGCTTGAGCATGGGTTAAATTTTTAGCAGCAAGTGCTCGTTGAACAAGAACCTAAACATTAAAAATTAACTTTCATCGAACTCTTCATTTATACTAACTTGATCACTAAAACAAAAAACAACAAAACAATGCATTAAATCATTTTTTTTTCATTTCTATTTTATTTTCAATAACTAACCTACAAAAATACCAAATACTTAAAGTGAACATACCAATAATTCCTACCCATGGTGGACCATCGACTGAATTAAGTGGTCGAATAAGACTAAAATAATCATTTGGTGGAATGCCACAAGTAATATTAGAAAACAAGGTTGTATCAGCAACAGCATATGGATAAAGTTCTTTAATTAATTGTATGCCACCAACTTTAACACAACATATAATCATAAGAATAAAAGCAGAAATAATCATAATAATTGTTTGAATAAAATCTGTCCAAATTACAGCTGATAATCCTCCTTTAAAAACCAACATAATGTAGAAGATCAAATTTCATTTGTTTACTTTTATTATTATTTAACTCACCACCAATAGTAAATATAGCAGCAACAAAAATAAGAGCTATAATTGATACATACATATTCCAACCAAGTGCTTGATTGAGAAATATAGCACCAGAATAAAGATCAACGGATATTTTTGTAAATATAGAAAGTGCCAAAGCAAGAATCGTAAGATAAAAACGTATTCGATCACCACCAAATCTTTTCTTTATAAATTCTGGCATTGTATAAACCTAATTTGAAACAAATGAATAAACATTCGTTTTTTAGAAAATATGGTCTGATCAGTATATAAAATTGAATATATGAGTTAGGCTTACATCAACTTTGATATAAACAGGTAAAAATATCCAACCGAGAATCATTAATACGTAAATAGCCTAAATTTAGGATGAATTTCATTATAATTATGTATTCAACTTTCAAAATTCAACATACACTTAATTCAAAACCAGCTATACCAATTCCATTACTTGCTCCACTACCTATTTGAATTTTCGAAAATTGTATTATATTATTGATCTTATATAACTCCTCTTAACTAGAAATGAAATCATCAAACTTAATTTGGTTTTAGTATTGTCAAAGCATTTTCCGTTTCATTCATTCAATTTTTTTTCCACATTAACGTCCTTCCAATAGATATGAGAAGCCCCATGATTTCTATTCTATCTAGACAATGTCAGTGTTTGTAGCAAAATTTCGCAAGTGCTGTCCAATTATCTTTAGTTTAGTAGTGTTTGCATATGTCACATGTTTATTCAGACATCAATTACTTGTCATAAGGAGAATCTCTAGAAATTACTTTCATCATTTATTAACGTCTAAAATCAAGATCATTATGCAATCTGTAACGAGTATTTTCTCGGGAAACAGGTATTGAAATAGCATAACAGATTATCAAAGTCATATTTCATTAATTTAAATAAGCTTTTTTCCGAACAGTTATTCGAAGACATTTATAGAACGGCTGTAAACAAATCCTGTTGTCATTATCAAGCATTCAATAGATCATGATTCGAAAATACCTGCAAGACCAATAAAATGTACACTACCAATATTGCTAGCAAATAGAGATGCACCAACCTAAAATGTAGATCATGTAATTATTATTTTGAAATGAAAATCAGTCATTTCTTACTGGTAAAAATGTCATAGTTCGACCTGCCAGAAAATAGCCTCCTGAAAAATTCTATAAATTATAGATACGAACCAGAGTCAATTAAATTCAATGCATACCAACACTGCCACGATTTTTGCATGACGACTAAAATATAATGATCGATGTAATGCATAACATCAATGAAATTAGTTTGGTTTACTTTTACTATTTTTAGTTTATGATGGTCTATCTCCTCAGCTAAGAGGCATTTCAATAACAACAACATATGGCGAGTAAAACTTATATTTATCTCGAAAAGTCAATAAAGTAAACAATAGAATAGATCAAATTCTTTTCTATTTTTGAATTAATTTGATTTTTTCTACAGTACCCATTTAAGTAAGATAAACATGAATTGGCATATTAAAAATGCATATAAGGAAATGAATAATACTACAGTGTCTTATTTTTATTGTCTTACTTTAGTGTTACATGTAAATAGTTTTAATTTTAATTAATATGGGCAGTTTAAATTTAAGTTCATTTCAAAAAGAAAATCTTCAACTACGGAGCAAAATCATTGAAATATTTAATAATATAAACAATTTATCTGTTTTCTTCCATCATTGTTATAAAATGAGTATATCTATAATCGTTCAGAAGTATTGATGCTATCAGTTTCATTCTTATGAAACGAGTTTAAAGGTTTTTCTTCATCACAAATATATATGGGCTTGAGCAGCCGACTTGATACCCCAAGATATAATATTATTCCAGGAAGAAGTATATAATGAATTTTATATCAAATGAAAGCTCGTCAAAAATGGTATTCATTGGTACTAAATAGTAAGGGTTGTGTGAACTTTGTAATGTCAAACTTAAGAAATTTTCAGAAATTTCATACATTTTTCGCATAGCAAACTAAGATGTCAGTAATTGAAAAACGGAGTAAACTTTTTTTCTTGCATATTTTTATATGATTCGATAGAGCTCGTCGAGCTCTACAAAGCTGTATGTATTGAAGTTTTTTTTTGCGTCATTTTTTTAAGATAAAAAATTAAAAAAACTGCTTGGAAAATATTGAAAACATGTTAAAAATTCATATTTTCTATATGGAAGAAAAACACGATTTTCCATAAAATTAGTTTTTTCATTATTTTTACCACCTCACGTGTTTCGAAATACACTTATTCGATTCAGTTTTCCACGCTGCATTTATTGAATATATTTCGAAACACGTGAGGTGGTAAAAATAATGAAAAAAACTAATTTTATGGAAAATCGTGTGTTTCTTGCATA